ATTAAGTTTGTGCTCCCCTCCACCCCCCAAAACCCCCGCGCAGAAGGGTGTGGCTGGGGAATTCTGGGAATTGAAGTCCACACATCTTAGAGTGGCCAAGGTTGAGAAACACTGTTCTAAACAAATAAGTAAAATAAGAAAAAGAGGGAGGGGAGGAGGCAATATCCCAACAAACGGTGAAGGCCATTCCCAAAAAGAGTTAGCCAGATCATTAAGTTGAGAATGGCATAGAAGTAGTAGTATAAATTAAAAAAAAAAAAAAGTGCCAGTGTGGTTTGCTTTAGGATCTTGAATGCAAATGGCCAGCATCTTGTTCTTTATTTTAGCCAGCTAAATGGCTTTCTCTGTCCTGAGCAAATGAAGAAATCTCCATGTCCTTTTTGGAAAAATTCAGTGAAATGGTCTTCTGATTTCTGCCCTCGCCAGAAAGGCTGAGACATTCCAGAGGCCATGATGCCATCAGAGACAGCTGCTACTGTTTGCTGCGCAGGGTGGCTGCTTCCAAAGTCATGGACAAAACTCACCATTCATTACATAGAGGGTGAACACCAGCCAGCTAAGGCAGAAACTCCATGTGAAATGAAGAGTTCCAACAGAGCTCATCTGTCTTTGAGTGACATCTATTGTGTATAAGGCCAGAGTGGTAAATCCAAAGGTGCCTATATAGGAGAATGGCAAAAAGCATTATGGGTGCCAACTGAAAGTCTAAAACTGTCCTCCCCTCCAGATCTGTTGGAACTACACCTCCTAGAGTCCTCAGCCCATTGGCAAATCCAAATTCTGCTCACCTGCAGGATACAACCTTGCCCAACTGGCATTATTGCTTCACCTAATGTATCCCTTGCTTATCCCCCATAAAGTACATCCTCTGGCTTCCAAAATTTGTGCAGTCTTACTTAAAGCCTATTACAAATGTCACAACACTTAAAAAAAATCTAACCTGCAGAGTTAAAACATCTTCAGTGCAAATATCTTCACTGCCAATACAAGATCTTGAAAAGTGTCACCCTATGTGGAATGTCTGAAGGTATATGGGTGTTTATTGTTCCATGAACACCCACAAACCTTAGGACACAATCTGGGAATATGATTTACCAAATACGAACGCTGAACATTGATTGAATGACTGTGACATATCCCCCTCCCCCCTCTGAGTATTTGAACTTTGGAAATAAGTTTGCTTATTCTGTGTTGCTCTTGGGTTGGGTGGCCCAGGGATAACCCTTTGTTACCAGTGGCGAAGCTTGCAGCTGAGGACACCAGCATGTTGGACGGTCCCCTGCAGTGGCCTGGGCATTGGCAGGAGATGAGCAAGGAGAATGCCGCAACGAAGCCAACGAGGGTTGCAAGCGTCAGGAGGATGCGAGAAGCTTTTGTGAAACCTGCCAGGCAGAGATTGGTTTGGGTTGTTGCCTTGAAGTGGCACTGTTCATGTCTCCACTGCTCCATCCAAAGGACAAAGCACAAGTCATTAACTATTTCAGGAAAACTAAAAGACTTGTTGAAAATCTGTGTGCAAATTCAGACAGGGCCTTCAACATAACGTTCGAGCATACAGTGTGCTGCTGTCCAGGATTCCGGCTGTACCATGCTATTCCCCCTTTAATTCCCAGCTTTTGATATTTGTACTTGTGTGAGTCAATGCATGTTATTATATGATGTCCTAAGGTTGGAACAATAAAGTAGGCCCTAAGTTTGACATTCACAAGGTTCTGGGTCAATACCAGCAAGATTTTCCCTGCCCAGCAGGAAATTATCCACCCAACCCCATGCAACATGAAGCATTCATACAGGCTTTGTTGACTTCAATGGAGACAATCTTTAAATTGTTAGGAAAATATATGTTCTGCTGCTAGCCTACACAGGGCCTTTGAACAGGTCAGTGTGACCTCTTGGTGGAGATGCAGGACATTTGAAAATTGATTTGAGCACCTTCTCACTGAGAGGTCCCTCAGATCCATGATAACATACCTACAGGGCAAAGTAAGCAAAATGACTATGTGTGACCAAAAGGCCAGCCACAGCAGATAGAGCCACAAAGTCTTGTCATTTCTTACCACTGTTCTCATTAAATTGACCACAAGCCACTTTGTTGCAGAGTTTGTTGACCACAGGGGTGGGAGGTGTGTTGTCTTCCGGGACAATGACTTCAAGCCAGGATGGGCTGAGCAGAGAGATGGAGAGAAGCAAGAAACAGATACAAGTGGAGGTGGTCGTGGTAGCTCTGTAAGGCAACTTTACTTGGAAAGTGTTGGCCAGAGGAGGCATCTTGGCCAAAATGGAGGCACCACTGAGAACTAGGGGAGATATACACAAATCAAGACTGCAGCATCCTCCCCACTTGGACAACAGGATCCAGGTCCCTTCTGGAACTTAAAGTAAATAGATGGAAGAGTGGATCATTCTTTTCCCAGAATTCCCCAAAGCATTGTCACGTGCCTGTGTTCCTGTAGATATTTCTCAGCAAGTTCCAACTGCCATAGAACCTTCCAATCTTCCCTTGAGAAAAGTTTAAATCTAAGATACAGTGCCTTTGTTTTTCCCCCTCCAAACAATAATTGATACGAATAGCTGCTTTGAGTATCTTAAAAAGGAAGAGGAAATATAGGACGGAAATATTTGGTAATATATATTTTATAGTGGAGAAACAGAACACTGACCACAAGCAATTCAATATGGGGTTGACATTAATATAAGGGGAAATTAACCTTTGCTCAGAATCTTTCCATTCCCTAAGAGACACACACACATTCCAGGTAGGCCCTTTGCGATTTCAGAATCTCACAGGATTTCTTTGAAGCAATCCACCTCTTCTAGGCCAGGGCAAACTCCTCTGCCTTTTTCTCCTGTAATATCTTCTCCCACCCTTCCTCATCCCAAAACACTGATGAGGAAGAGCTCCAGTTGGAAGAGGAGGCAGACAACACACTTTCTTTGTCAGACAAAACAGATCCGTGCAGCAGTAGGCGCTGATGAGCCATAAGCCCTAGAAACCCTGCAGGTGGATAGAGAAGGGAGAGCAGAAGACAATGAACAAGTGCCCTTAACAATTCGGACACCCCTGAGTCATTTTCTGTACCTTCCCAATGGGTTTGTGTATTGATTTGGGCAAGAAGAAATGTATGTATGTATGTATGTATTTTTTTAATACAATGTTTATTATAGAAATTTTTAACAAGAGAAAAGCGATCCAAATGTTAGAAAAGAAACAGAAAGTAGAAAAGAATAGTGAATAGGGAAAAAAGGAAAGAAGGGAGGAAGGAAGGAAGGGAGGATTGATTGACAGATTGATTGATTGATTGATTGCACTTATATAGGGCCAGCTCCAGTCTGGCAGTTTACAAATGTGAAAAAGGAGAAAGCATAATAGAGAAAACCTAAAACCAAGAGACATAATAATAGAAATGTGCAGAGTTCCCACATGCCCTCCGGAGCAGCTGAGATTTTAGTAGCTTCTGGAAGGCCAATGGTGAGGGTGCTAGCGTAATATCCCATATTTTTTTCAAAAATGGTTGAAAGAAGATCACTCTCACTCTGGAGATCTTGCAAGGTCTCACATGACAAGACTAGCATTTTGTATATGTGGTGTTCTTGTGAGATTTCACCTGTTGTGATTAATTTATTTGAACGTATGAGAATTGTGTGGACACCACTGAAGGATATTATGTCTGATGGGTCACTAAAAGATGTTTCCAAATAGCAGCTTCAAGTACTACCGGTGAAAAGAATGGGGGCCTGAGGGGGATTGTTTTTTAAAAATTAAGTTGGCTGCACCCACATGATCAAAGCCATACTACTTTTTCATGTGTAACATGTAACAGGAGTGGGGTTCAATCACGCAGGCATGGGGGTGCAGTCTTGCCTTTTTTGACACCTTCTGCAGACCCCTCTGAATGAACAGACAACTATCCTTTCTTTTCCTCCTTAACTGGAAAAAGACATGAGAGAAGGAAAACGTGGCAGAAATAAAATTCAGTGACTAATGTAGGATAATTGGCAAAGAAATGCCTTTTCTGGCAGCCCCTTGAATTTAATTGATTATGCTCCAATTCTGCTTATTGGGTGAATTGGGTCACTTTGATCCCACCTGAGATCCTAACACCAGCAAGAGAATCTGGGATCCTGAGGTTCACAGATGCTTTGGGAAATGTATGACGGCAAAATGTGAAAAAGAAAAGCGAGGGGAAATGCAGAGCTTGGAAAATCCAGTATTGTGGAATCATAACTGGAGATGGTTTCTATGCGGGTATGGGAGACTTGTGGTGATCCAGAACAATTCTGATTTCAGGGGAATACGCAGAAGAGCAGTTCACTGTATTCACTGCATGCTAAAGTGTTTTCTGGAGATGGTCTGGTGGAGTTATGTCTATGAGGATATGGCTGCCGTGAGAGGTGTAATGGCATGTGGGAATGACCCTGGGAGACAGGAGGAAGAGCCGCAGCTTGGACAACACTCTGATAAATGAAATCTGAGTCCTAAGGAGAGTTAGGGATGGAGAAAGCATCTCAGAAGGGACCCTTCCTAGTTTTCGGGAGAGTAAAAGTAAGGGAGGGGAGAGGTACTTTCAGACTTGCAAGATTCTGTAACTGTAACCCTACAGTAAAGGTCGCGTTAGTACTC